TAATTGTCAGATGGCTGTTGTGGTTGCTCAAGAGTAACCAGGCAGGACTCCGACCTGTCTTTTACAGGCTTTATTTTGGTGCAAACTATTTACAGTGAAGAGCCCCAAAGCTCATGTCTGGCTCAATCGCTAGCAGAATCTGGGAGTGGTCTTTCTTTGTACCTCCCCCAACATAAAAGCTTTGTTACCCCCAACCGTCTCCGCCCCTGTCTGCTCTTCAGACTACTGCGCAGGATGGGCGATGGCAAGGGCGTGTTTCCCTCCTCTCCGGCTTGCTCAGGAGCGGTGTTAAGGCTCCCACTAGCATCCTCTGGTCCTTGCACCTCTTCTCCACGGAAGAGGAACTGCTTCGCAAGATTTTCAGAGGCTCCCTGTAACACAACTGCCCTTCTATTTCTTGCGTCTGAGCTGATGGCAGTTCCCTGACATTAATGTTTTTATGTTTGTTTTCTGGAACCATAATTGCAATTACCTACTTATGCTATATACCAGTAATTTAATTTATTGTTATATGAAATACTTATAACCACTGGAAATATTAAATCATGAGGTCATCCCCCACTCCCATCATGCGCCCTGGTGTTTCAGTGCCACGGGAGAGAAAGCATATGCATTCTATCACAGACAAATCTTTAAATACATGAATGTGCATCCAAGTATTTCTGCCTTGGCGGAGATATGAAACATGGATAAATATGCTATTTTTCTAGAAAAAGAGTTGTCAGAATTCACTATGAACACCTCCCTAATTCTCTTAGAATGGCAGTGGCGCCCAACTGAGTTCCGACAAGTACTGGCTGAAAAAAAGCCCTGGATGTAGGTCAAAAGCTGATGACTGGCTGCTGCACAGCATCATAAAACCAGTGCAGCTACTTTTGTTGTCTGAAGATACGAGACTAACAAATTCCCATTAAATCTGTGACAATGAAGAGGCATTTGTGGTTAGACGCCAGTTCCCATCATCCCCTGCCAGCATACTCAGTTGTTGTCTTGTCTTAGTGTGCCATGTTAATTGGGCTGTGTGTGCTTCACTGGCCTATCACATACCCTCCAACACTTCTCCAATGAAAATAAAGATGTCCCATTCCATAATGATAATTTTACTATTTATACTGCACAGAACTTATTGGTTGCCCCAGCCACTCTGGGCAGCTTCCAACACATATAAAACCATAATAAAACATTAAGCATTAAAAAAAAAAAGCTTTCCTATACAGGATTGCCTTCAGACAGCTCAGGGATCAGATAACTCCATGTTCTCCAATGAAAATAGGGATGTCCTAAGCACAAGCAGGACATTCCAGGATCAAATCAAAACTGGGACGGTTTTGCTTAATCAGGGACGTCCCTGGAAAAATAGGGACATTTGGAGGGTCTGCTATCACTAGTTATTTGGTGTCTACTTGCAGCATTAAAGATGATATCAAACAGTGTCCTGCCCAATGGAGCGAAGTCTAAACAAGAGAGGATTGAGTATTAAATATCAAATTACTAGAAAACAATGAATAACTAACTACAGAGAATGCTTTATCATTCACGAACAGTTATTGGTTAGAGCAGGGGTCGGCAACCTAAGACCCATGGGCCACAAGCGGCCCATGGGGGTCGTTTAACTGGCCCATGGACCCCCGCCACCTGCTCAGTTGGCTCCCGTGTGCCGCGCTAAACTGGCTCCTGCAACCCATGGGAAGCTGCGTAAGCCTCCTCCACGCTGGAAGGAGCACTGGAAATAGCATTTGTGTGTGTGTGCATACGTGTGCACTCCAGCCCACTGCAGCGTCTGTGGGACTGTGAACCGGCCCAAGCCAAAATAACTTTGCCGACCCCTGGGTTAGAGTGACATCGTCCAATGGGCCCACATGCATCCCTAGACTCAAATTATTTAATGAAATGGGCTTTTTTAAAGCCTCACCCAATACATTAGGTTCACAAAAGCCTTGCTTAATCACTCTCATCAATCTTTCACCTACCATATAATTTTATTTGCTTTCCTTTTGTTAACTTGTCTGTCAGAGTTACTCAACCCTTTCACGGTGATAAAATTTCCACTTCATGTAAGCTTGAGGTAGCTGTAACTGAAAACTCTTGTCTGGGCCAGCCAAGTAAGGAAGAGGTAATTGAGCTTTCCAAACATTACTGCAGGGAAAATGATTAAAAAACATGATATATAGGCTACTCTCGGAGTCAGCCGCTTCAAACATATTTTACATAAAACAATCTGCACAGTGATGGCTTCATCATGGAATAATTACATGTGTATTTCCTTAGATGGACATGCTCTGAAAAGCATGTATACATGTAGCAAAACCAATGTTTGTGTCATGTAGCTGGTATATTACTCTTCGCACAGCTGTTTCCAATTAGGAAATTCGCCATGTCTACTGCAGCCCCTTAGGCCGTGCTTATGGTTGAAACATCTAATACCTGAGTTATCATTGACAGGATATTTCTTTGTAATGTGGCATGCTTGGAGTATGATATGCCAATCACACATAACACTGCTGATGGATGCATCTAGCTTCCAGAGAATGAGTGCCCCTAGATTTTGGTCCTGTGTGAGAACACACATTTATAAGCTCTCATAATAAATATGTGCACAGCTAGGTGTAGATTTGCTGCTTTGGGGCTGCTGTTCTGAGATTCCTTGGAAAGGGAGCTCAAGGACCATTGGACAGACTTGAGTCTCAGTTTCTGCTGCTGGAAACAGATCTGTGATATTGGACAATGAGATATCTGCTGTCATATCCTCGCTTCCTGTTGCCAGCAAAATCTTCCAATGCCTTGACCCAATGTCAGAAATCTGATATTGGTAGTTTTTAAAAAAAAGGTGGGGGGGGATGTTCAGGGCATGCTGAGGGAGGCCTGGCTTGGATCTGGAAGCCATTATGGTCCTTGATATGCCTCCAAACTGGGGACGGGGACAGGCATGCTTGCTTCCAATTTGAAGGAAAAAATAACATTTAAAAAACAGCCCTGTAATGGATGGAGGTATACACTCATGCCAAGCAGGATAAAAGCAAGTGAACTATCTTCAGATTTCACCCAGAATGGAATTTATGTTTGGTTGGAGGTGTGGTCATGCGGTTGCTCCAATAGTCCAGCTTGGAGCACCATCTTGGGTAGGGGATGCCAGCTACTTGGTCTCCAGAAGTGTGTCTTTGTATGTGTTTAATGCACCTCAGGAGTATGTGTTTTGTCAATAAAGAATTAAGCTACTGGCTGTTTGTCCTCCTTGGGCTGGGTGTGCTCAGCAGAATGTCCAGTGGTGGAGGAAAATAAAATACTCAAGAGATATGCTATTGCATTCTATCAATCCACATTCTAATTTTAAGCCAGTAGCAGTCGGGGTGGGGGATACTTGTTCAGTCCAAACTTTTGAAAACAAGCAAGCCAGTCTTTTTAAAGAGAACGTCATGCCAACCATCTGTCTGCCAAGCATGTCTGCAAAGCTGGCCATCTGTTTCTTCTTTAAATGTCTCTGGTGCTCTGGTGTATTTTTAAAGAACATGTAAGTCTGCTGTTTCAGCTGATATTGTAGCAACAAACATGGTGATCTGTATTTTGAGGACTTTGGCTGAACCTTTTCTTGCACTGTACATATTACATGCTTGTAGCTTCATCCTGTGCAGGTTTATTTTTATTTTTATTTTATTTATTTATTTAAACAACGTTTTTATACCTCTTGATTGTAATTACAGCCTCCATGCGGTTTACAAAAGAATAAACATTAGATTCGTCAATAAAAGACAGTGCTAAAAACAGATATATTTTTTAAAAAATCAAAATATAATTAAAATCAAGAGTTAGCGAAAAACAGATTGAAATGCGTGTCAGTGTCTGCATATCTGGCTAGGCTTGGCTGAACAAAGATGTTTTTAGTAGGCACCAAGAAGAGTACAGCAAAGGTGCCTGCTGCCTCATGTCCATAGGGAAGGAGTTCCAAAGTGTTGAATGAATTTTGTTTTGCACCTTTAACAGTGCCAGTTCGGCATTGAGTTTACTGAGAAGTAATTTCCACTGAGTTCAGTGAAATTTATGCATCTATATATCGCGAAGTGAAGTCAAAACACAGAGTCAAAATTCACAGTAAAAGAAAAAAAATTACTGAGGCAAAGAGGCTTCTTTACAAATACTCTACAAACAACAATAGAAGAGAGCAAAGTAAAAGTAAATAAGGAGCCCATTGAGCCCATGTACCGGTATTTATCCTTCCTGGCTCCCTGTGACTTCCTGTAATGGAAACAATATTTGTATGAGTCAGAGTGAGTCAAATAGAAGAATGAATCTGCACTTTTCAGCATTTTCCAACACTTTACTGCTTCTGCTCTCAAAATACCTTTGTCACATGATACTATAGAGATACATTGGGTTGCAATTTAGGTCAAGCTTATGTTAAGGCTCTACCTTAAGCTTCACCACGCAATTCTTAGATGTTATTAAGAATGCAGATTGCAAAACAAACAAACACACCACTCAGTGTTCAGGGAAGTGAGCAGCATATGCCCAGTGGATGTAAGATCCACTGAAATAAATGAGACTTCCATCTGAGTAATCAGATAAAAAGGATGGAATTGCAGAGCTGGGCATCTGGAGCGAGAAATGTCATTGGGACAGCTCTCGATGTTTGCTGCCCTAAACCGTCACCCACTCTCCAGTAAGATAAGGCTGCTTGGCTTTAAGTCCACATAAGGCAACAATGGCTTCAAGACCTTGTTCCTAAACATATTTTTAACCCCAGCAGCTGAAAGTGCATACCCTCCAACATTTACCCAGCGAAAATAGGCACATCCTATTTGATACCCACCCAACATTTCTCCGATGAAAATAGGAGCATCCTAAGAGAAAGCGACATATTCCAGGATCAAATCGGAAACCGGAACAGGACATCCGTAAATCCGGGACTGTCCCTGGAAAATAGGGACACTTGGAGGGTATGAAATTCTAGCTTGTGCAAGCATCCTAGATGAAATAAAAGGAATCAACCTTTCATTCTTCAGAAGGGCCATGGCTCAGTAGTAGAGCATGTGTTTTACATGCATCAGGTCCCTGGTTTGATCTCTGACATCTCCAGGTAAAGCTAGGAGAGACCTCCTTCTGAAACCCTGGAGAGCCACTGCTGGTCAGTGTGGACAATGTTCTAACTTGGTATAAAGCTGCTTCCTACGTTCCTACACTGTCTTGCCTGTCATAAAGAATTACTGTTTTAGATCATTTGTGAAGTAGACTATATCTGTACAGTGGTACCTCGGGTTACATATGCTTCAGGTTACTGACGCTTCAGGTTACAGACTCCGCTAACCCAGAAATAGTACCTCGGGTTAAGAACTTTGCCTCAGGATGAGAACAGAAATCATGCAGCAGCGGTGCAGCGGCAGCAGTAGGTCCCATTAGTGGTGTTTCAGGTTAAGAACAGTTTCAGGTTAAGAACGGACCTCCGGAACGAATTAAGTTCTTAACTCGAGGTACCACTGTAATGATGTGACTAATTCTGTGAAAGCAGCAGTTCCTTTGGAATGGTACGCATCTGCCCTGTGAAAGTTCTTTTCTGCCTTTGTGCGACACTTTTTCCTTTTCCCTGGTGGTTGCAAGCTTGTGGTGATGCCACCAACCTGCAAATTATGATGATGTGCTGACACCGAGGCTACTCCAGCCCATGTTGACCAGTGTTTCATTGGTATCCTCAAAACCCATGTCCAATTTATGTGGCAATGTTTGCTTCTACACTAGAGCCCTTTAACTCTGCAGAGCTATTTTCTTTCCACCATTAGCTGGAAGTGGAATTCAAATGCATGTTTGGTATAGTATTTAATACAGTGTTATATCATCCAACAACATCAAAGGTTCTTCTATATATTTTATTCTGATCCAAGTCTCATTCAGCAAATTTAGCCTGCAGTATTAATTACAAGCTTCATGTTTGTCGATTCAACTTATTTTGTTTGTTTTGGCTTCCTTTTTCACACAACCATGCGTATTGGTGAATAATAATAAAAACAATTCTTTTTTTCACCAGAAGGTACCAGGATGGGTTACTCCAGGTAAATGGGTTAGGACTGCAACCTAAGTCCCACTTTGTTCAGCAGGACTTACTCCTAGGCAACTGTGTATTGATTGTAGCCTGATGCAAGAAAAAACCCCATTATTGTGGTTATTTTCTATTTCAAATAAACCTTTTCTTTTAGAACTCATTAGTGACTCCAGAATTACATGTATAACAAACATGCTTCCTATATAGAGAAAGCACTCAACTTATATTAATTAATTTAGGGATAATTTACCAGGCCTTACTTCTTTTGCATTTGAAATGCATAGGGACCAGATGATGGTACAGTAAGATTGACTTGCAAATCAAACATGAACAATTTTGTGTCTCGTATAATAATAAAAAGAGTGCTCTGTAATCTCATTTGTGCCTTTGGCAAGTATTGTATATTGTCTATGCTGAGCTTGTTAAAAGATTTCAAATTGGCTTGCAGTGTAAAGAAACTATTTTAGTGGCATGCGAGTGGCATTGTTGCTTTCTTTTTGATTTATAAGTTTCAAGCTTTTACTGTGACTTGAGCTATAATTACCATTTGTAATTAAACAAGAACAATAATCATGATTATTTTACACTCTTTAACTCTATGAAAAAATATCAGTTCAATCCACATTAGATTTTTATTGCATTTTGCCATAATAACAGTACGTTGTAAAATAGATTCTTTTCCAAAAGTAGAACAAGTTAATGAATGAAAATAAAACTTACTGAAAAATGAACTATTTTTCAAGAAGGCAGGCTTTTGACACAATAAGCAGAACAACAGAAAGTGGAAAATATTTCAAACTTTTATTTTTCTAATTTACATAGTCATATTTCAACAAACATCTCATCATGCTCATTACGTTTGCTGACTGAATTAATGTTGTTACTTTCCCTCATCAAATAATACATAATAAAAGTACATTTTTATTATTTCTAGTTACATAACTTTCCATTTATTCCAGCCCTGACTATAAAACATATAAATGCAAGCTTAATCCAAGCATGGCTATATGTGCTTGGGAGCATGAGTGTGTGCATGTATATCTCTAACTGTGCAAGGAGCAGTGCATGCAAATGTCTGCTGCACATATTGTTCTCAACCTTAAAAAGTTCCACCTATCACCTGAGATTTCACCCTTGTATCACTAGTCAGATGATCCCCCAAAAGCCTGCTTCAGCTTTTCAGGGAGCTAAGTGGAGGGGCAGGGAGGTTGGGGTTCATTCCACTCCACATTTCCACTAAACCCAGATTATCCATACTGTCACTGGTAACCTGGAAGGTGTTACACATCTGTCTGCTAGATTTAATGTTGATTCAAGACTCACTTTTAGATTTCTCTCTCATTTCTTTTCAAGATTACTTTCCATTTGTTTGACTACCCACCAAACAAAATATAAAATTATTCAATGGTCATCAAACTAGCCCACAGTCCAAGAGACATTCTTGTTTGAAAACAATTCCTAGTGATTAGGATCCTGGAAGCTGTAGACTCTCAAAGTTTTCTAAACATTGTAGATTATCATTATCATCACCAGACATTTGAGCATTGATTCAGATCATTGGTCCATCTACCTAGTACTGTCTACTACACTGATTGGCAGTGGCTCTCCAGGAAACTCCCAGACCTACCTGAAGATGCCAGGGATTGAACCTGTGACTGTCTACATGTTAAGTGGATAATCTACCACTGAGCTATGACCCTTTCCAAGTAGTCCAGTAGGCTAGGATCCATCCAATTGCAGACCATGGAGTCCCTTGCTCAAGATCCAGAGCCTCTGACAACACCACAAATGAAACTCTCTTCTAATATTCAGCATTATTACATGGAGTTATCTTTGCAGGGAAACATTTGCCTTGGCCTAAGCCCCCACCCCCTATTTAATCTGTACATATATAAGCAAGAGAAGGGGAGGCACTGGGTGGGGACTTAAAAGTATGGAAATTCTTTTCCCTTTTCACAACTTCAGGCAGACACTCACAGCAATTCACAAATACAAATTCTTCCAAGGCATCTCTCCTGCTGAATTGTCTCCACTGTGTAGCTAATCTTCTGTCCTTTAACCTTTGTTTTTCATCTTGGAATTCATCTTCAGTCAAGGAACATGTTTTGCATTTCATTGAGAGCTTACTAAATTCCTTTAATAGCTTTCTGTAGGAAACGTTATCAAAGCTTTTATAAAAAGCTTCATTAATTAGTTAATGTTAATGGAGCACTTCAAAGATTAAAAAGCACTGTATAAATGTTAAACAGTGTTATTATAAAAATGTTCCCTGCATTTAATTGCTTCATTTTTAATGCAAGAGAAACTACATGATATGTGCCTAGCCAAATCTTGGTTGTCAAAAAATTGCAGGTTGCCTGAATTTGCTATGTGTTGTTTCTCCACTAACCCATGCAATGGAATCTACACCTCACCCAATGTCTAATAATTCATATGTTATGGGTATTTCTTAGCCCAATTATCAAATAGCTTTCCATGACCATTGAGCACACAGTCCACACTGAGGTGTTTGTGCAGATCCTTCCATTTGAGTTTTCTTTCCTAAAGAGTTTCAGTACTTCTGAGGGTTCCTCACCTTTGCTGAACCTCCATCGTGTACATAAGATGGTGCCAGTAACATTTTTCATAAGCAGTGGAACTCATAGCTTTGAACATCAGAAATAGAGGGAACGATTACATTCCTTCCCCATTCAACATTCAGCCATTGGATGGTTCCAATGTTTTATACACATTCTAATAGAGCAACAGATCTAAGAAGAGAATAGTCTTGTCTGCTGCTGGTGGGAAAGAGAGAAAAGAAGCAAAGTGGTCACCCATTGGAGTGGAGATCTACCATTAGGCAGAGTGAATGAATGGGGTAGCATGAATGATGTTTGAGAATAGGGATACATTAGCGGTCTGTGTATGCATAGTGTGCAAGTAGCCCGTGTGTGAAACAGAAGCAGGAAGGCAACTCTTACAGCAGTGATCAGCTTGTTGTGTGAGTTGTCTGGGTGTGAATGGGACGTGTGCATTGTGGAAACTGTGTGGGGTAAGGATGAGTAAGTGTTACAAAGGGCATGATCTATCCCCTCACAGAGTTGCATCTGCAAGAGGGTATCTCCATAAAGGCACCACCACAGAGACCTTGCCCTCTCCCCCTAGCCCACTGCCCCTCATGTACAGTGGTACCTCGGGTTAAGTACTTAATTCGTTCTGGAGGTCCGTTCTTAACCTTGAAACTGTTCTTAACCTGAAGCACCACTTTAGCTAATGGGGCCTCCTGCTGCTGCCACGCTGCCGGAGCACGATTTCTGTTCTCATCCTGAAGCAAAGTTCTTAACCCGAGGTACTATTTCTGGGTTAGTGGAGTCTGTAACCTGAAGCGTATGTAACCTGATGTACCACTGTATTATGTTAAATGGTCTGCAAAAGTCATTACATTAAATAGACCATATTATGTTTCTCCTAGAGTACGCAGTTTCCCAGTGCTTGTAATGCCAGCAAGTGTTTGTGTGTGTCTAGAACCTTTTAAGGCCTCTGAGGGGTCTTGAGCCTGAAAGTTTGTTTGAGGCCCCATCCTTCATCTTTTCCGTTAAAGGGGGTTGCTTGATAATGCTGATGTGTCCTTTTCCATGCATGAAGCCTACAGCAAATGTTCCCGTTAACATCCTCCCATGTGCTCATCAAGGAAAAGTATGGGTCCCTCTGTGGACAGGCCTCAAATTCAGAGTTATGGCAGGTGATTTGCAATATGCCAGGCACAACCCGCAACCATCTGAAGGCTAGTGGAGTGGAGAGGGAAGGGCTCGTAATGTCCTGTAGGGAAGAATCCCCAGTTTGTTTATTATTTGTTTGTTTTATATTTTGCCCTTCCTCCTGATAAAATAATCAAAACACTTAAAAACAATTCCAGTACAAGAGTAGATTAGGAAAATCTCTACCGTCACAGACGAGGAAGGTCTTCTGTAGGCACCAAAAAGGATGGATGTGGCCCAGCAAAAGTAGCGTGGATTGTGCTGAAGTTTTTCTGGTTTTTAAAAACATGTCTCTGAGCTTTCATGGGTCTCTGCTTAGTACGTGACAGTTCGCTGGCTCAGTTGTGATTCCAATTCCACCATTTTAATTTTAAAACAGAAAAATCAGCACAAGAAAACTCATTAGAGAAAACAAGCAAGGCAATAAATATCACTATTAATATTTTATTCTATGCTTCTTCAGAAATGGAAGTTACTTGGCTTGTTGCTTTATTCCTCTTTTTTGCATATACCATTTTAATTTTACTTCTATATGTAAAGTTTATTTTAAAAAACAAAACAAAAAACAATGCTTAGAGTTTACTTTTGATTACTTTCATTCATTGGGAGGCTCTTTGATATAGCAGAGGTTTCTGTAAATGTGGTGGAGGCATTTTTTCCCTCCTACTATTTGTTGCACCACTTCCCAACTCTCAGGAGCAGATATGTGGGATACATAAGAGTTCTAGGAGAAATTTGCCAAAATCATTTCTTTTCCCCTTCCACTCACAGAAGCCACCAAAATCTGGCAAAAGGCTGTGAATGGAATGTCAGCATTGGATATAACCAATTCTTCATAAAACTAAACACTTGGTTGCTTCAGCATCCGTGAATAGCTTTATTTAGGCTATAATCTCAAACACGCTTAACCAGAGAGTTAGTTTCAGCGACTATAGCAGAACCTCTGAGTAAAAGGCTTAGGACTGCACTCTACCCTAAATGTGCTTTGGTGCTTCCATTCTTGGTAGAACTTCAGTCTTGCCAGCTGCATTATGCATTCCATCTTCAATGCATATTGAGGATCATGACCTTTATGAAATCCGTACGGTTGGTTTGTATGATATAACTTCATTGTTCTCTCTCCAATGAAAATAACAATACAGTGTCATATTTTGGTCCCTAGCCAGAATTTTTGAAAGCATCCTTTTGGGAAATCGTGTTGATATGTTAACAACTCATGATTTGTTTCCTGTACAAGAGTTTTCTTGGGCTAAACAAATTATGAGTCCAAGTGAGCTACAGTTGCAAAAGATGCCACTTACCTGGTGATGTCATTACCATGCCTCAGTCCAATTTCTGCACACATGGAACTCCTAATATAGAGAGGGAGATCTGTGTCCTACTTTTAATAATTTGTAGCTAATATCAACTTTACCTGAGGTCTTGTACACATAAACAATGACTCTAGTACAATAAGTCTGACATGGTCTAAAAAACAGCAGAGATATTATCAAACTCTGTATAATCAACTGAGGCAAAAGCAGCCATCTGCATCAGTGGATTGTCAATGGTTTCTGCAATTCTTCACATACTTACTGAAAAGAAAAGTCCTGTAGGCTTCAATGGGACTTGTACATATGCTCAGGACTGCAGTCAAGGGAAATAGCCTTTCATTAACTGCAGGCATGGGCTAATCTGTGCCACCATTCTTATGTGACCACATGACAGATGTTTGTGGGAAGGCAAAAACTTTGGGTTCGTTGAGATAATCAGGATTACGAATTTGTTGTCGTAGGGTTTTCCCCTATGCAGAAGGAGGAATGAGGCCTCCACACGTTTTACTGACGTTACTGTGAAGTGAGCTTTCCTTCCTTTATTTGGCCCATGGTGGCGGCAGAGTTACAGCTGACTGGAATCCTTTCTCTCCTCCTTGCAGGGTTTTTCAGTGCCTTTTTAGAGCAAGTATGGCAGGCACTGTGGGACATTTCCAAGAACTTCTGTGGATGAAGCACTATCTGCTTGATCTACTGGTGTTAATGGCAATTTCAGTTGTGGCATTCAGAAAATCGGGTGACATCAGAGGGCTAACCCAGTGCTACTGTCCGGGATAAATCTCCATCAGATCAGATTGGCTAGCTTGTTAATGGAGGGATGTCATCAGATTTTTCTCTTTGGGGCACAGAATGACTGGCCTTTTGTCCTGTCTCTTGCATGTCTGATTTCTGTCTGACTACTGCTTGCCTATCCACTCAAGATATATTTTTTTCACTTCGGGGCTTGAATACCTGACAAAAGAAGGTATCATGATAATGCCACCATGGGTCATGATAATGCCACCATGATCCTAAATGCCAGTTTTTCTACAGCAACAGCTTGTCATAGCTGTGGGAATGTTAAGGAAGGTAGGATATATTGTTTTGATATAATCCCTCCTCAGTCACGCTAGTGAGTGAACAGCAGAGCACATTCCCTTTGCAATTTATTGGAAGCAAGTTGATGATTCATTGGAATCCTTTAATTAAGCCATCCAGTCTGGCTTGTCCAGTCTGGATTGTTCCTGGTAAGTTTCCCCTTTATTTCTCTATTAAAATAATAATAACACAACACAGTCTTCTTTAAAAGCAAGAAAAACGTTTTACTCACATTCAGTTCACAGCAGTAATCTGAAGGCAGGCTTTATCTTGTGGTTACAGTGAAAAGAAGTCTGAGCTACATCTCAGACTTTCTGCTTGTGGGCTCCATCCTATGTGAAGGTTGAGTTATTCACTGGCTAAGAGCCAGGAGAGCAAAAGTCCAGAGTAAGCGTAAGAGAATAAGAGAGCCCAAGAGTAAGAGATGGCTGCATGGCCAGCCATTTTATCTGGTCAGCTAGGGTCACGCCCATCTACCTGGTCACATACAGGAGGAGGACGCTCGAGAGCAGGTATGTCAGGAAGTCCTCCCTGTCTGGAGCCATTCCCTGTGTGTCCATTCTAGGCAATAA